TAAAAAGAGTCACAGGTTGGGAGGAGATATTTTCAGTGCCTATAATAAACAAGGAATCAGTGTCCAGAATACATAAAGTAATTTTACAAATGCATGAGATAAATATAATTTAATTTAAAAATGGGCAAAGGCTATGAATAGAAGAAAGTTCAAATTGACAATAAACATATAAGATGCTAAGTCTCCCTAGTAATAAAGACAATGTATATCCAAACTCTCAGAATCTAACATTATGCATTATGTTTGGGAAAAATTAATAAGTCTGATTATACCATGTCATCTAGAATATAGGACTTGTATAAACTACTAATTATATAAAATAGTGAGAAATTTTTAATGAAAGTTCAAGATGGACATACCCTATGACCTGTCAGTTATATTTTGAAGTACCTACTCTAGATAAAGTTGTATTTACTTAGTGGTACAAGAATGTTGAGTGAACATTATTTTGAGATGAATTTCATGTAGGGTGGAGTGAAGTGGAAAGGTTTTGTTTATATGACAAACGGTTTATTTCTTTAAAATGAATCTGAATCAAATATGGTAGAATGTTATCATTTATTAAATCTGGGTGATAGGCACATAAAAAAAATTAAAAAAATAAAACAGTACCTGGTATTTAGTAGGTGCTCAAAAACTGTTATTATTACTGATATTAAGTGTTTATTGAACTAAAAAAATAATTAGTGCTTAGTATTGCTGTTATAATTTAGAGACCTAAGTACTAAAAAAAAAAGCACATTTCTTAATCTGACGAGAAATAACAGATGTCAAAAAGTATTAAGTAAAATTGAATTTGTGATATTAAAAAGTTAGTAAAAAACTGCTTTAATTTTTTTGGTGGGGGAAGGGGTAGAGGGAGGAGGAGAGAAAGAATCCCAAGGAGACTCCACACTGAGCACAGAGCCCAGTGCAAGGTTCCATCTCATGACTCTGAGATCATGGCCTGAGCTGAAATCAAGAGTCAGATGCTTAACTGACTGAGCCACCCAGGTGCCCCTCCCAAAAAACTGCTTAACTGCTTTAACTTTTAAAAGTCATCAAGAATTTTATAATATCCAGAATAAATTTCTTAAATTTACATATCTATTATATTCACACAATGGTAGCATTTTATTATTAGAATACTTCAGAAATCTTTCATGGGCTGCTCATTTTAAGGCATACTTGAAAGATCATTAAAGCTTCTTTTAAAACATCAATCTTTTAAAAATGGTGGTTCAGATATGCTTTTATAAAAATAATTTGGTAACTGTACAAAAGTTTAAAAAATCTGAGTTTTTAAGAAAAGACCAAAAGTGAACCATAGTCCTGCCACAACCACCGTTAACATCTGGGATATATCCTTCCAGAAATAATTCTTTGTACTAATAAATACTAGACGGATGGATAAATATATGTGTGTGTGTGTGTGTGTGTGTATTTTAAAGTTTATTTACTTTTTAAAGTAATCTCTACACCCAACATGGGGCTCGAACTCACGACCCCAAGGTTAAGTGTTACTTGATCTTCCAAATAAGTCAGCCAGATGCCCCAGATAAATATTTTTTTAAATTATTTTTTATTTTAGGAAATGGCTGCAGATTCTCTTGATTTGAATGCACCATAATTTAGCCCCTGGTAATCCCCTATTTTGGGGGCATTGTTCGCATTTTTTACTACGACAACACTGCAATGATCTCTGTTTATACATCTTCAAGAAGGATCCAGCTGCTTATTAGGGATGAATTCTCCTTCAGGTAACTGCTGAGTCAGTTGGCTTGACTATGTTTAAGGCTTTGACAGCTACAGCTAGGCACCCCATCTTACCATAACCTCAACCAGTCCTGCTTTCATTCTTCTTAATATTTATCTGGTAGATTAAAAAAAAAATAGCACCTTGTTGAGATTTTAATTTGTATTTATTTTAATTACCAGCATGATGTAGAGGAGGAGGGGAGTGAGTGGGGAATAAAGAAATTCTACGTGAGGCCTTCGCAGGAGTTCTTACCCTTGGATCAGTATCTTCCTCTTCCTCATCAGGGTTATAGGTCTCAGCACAGACTAAATTTGGAGAGAAAAACATAAAGAGAAAAGTGAATAAAACAGATGTGTACTTTTACTGGAAAAACAGGAAGTGCACACAGTTTCCTGTTATTCACTGTTTTCTAAAACTATAATGATTTTTAAAGCCCTTTCATCAATTAATAAATATATTAAGTACCTACTCATGCCAGGAATGCTATTAGGTGCTAAAATGCCAGCTTTCTAGGGATTGGTAGTCCCAAAGAGGAGAGAGTTGGTAAAAGATATCATAGAGTAAATCCCATGGTAGTGGCAAGGACAAGCAAGGAGGTGCTACCTCTGCTGAATTTTTTTTTTTTTAATTTATTTGACACAGAGAGACACAGCGAGAGAGGGAACACAAGCAGGGGGAGTGGGAGAGGGAGAAGCAGACTCCCCACTGAGCAGGAGACTGATGCGGGGCTCGATCCCAGGACCCTGGGATCATGACCTGAGCCGAAGGCAGACGCTTAACAACTGAGCCACCCAGGCGCCCCTCTGCTGAATATTTTTTAAACAGGGGTGGAAAATCAGAGAGTACAACATATGCAATATAAACACATGGACATGGATATGGAATAATTATGAAAAGAATCAATTAAAATTGCTCAACATCATTCTGTACATGTATGACTTAAAAATAAGAACGAATGTTAAACAAAATGAATACTATATGTCAGTCTTTGTTCTGGGTACAGTATTATATAAATCTAAAATCAACTTGATTTTCTTTGTAGGTAGCCTGTGTTTGTTGTGCTGGCTGCCTGCAGGACTTGTCTCTGTTGCAATTCAAAGATTCAGAAAATATTCACTGAACATTTGTTTATAACAGCAAAATATCAGAAATGATAGAACTACCCAAAAAATACGACATAACTATTTGAATGATATGCTATAAGAAAGAATGAGGAAGATCTCCACGGGCTAAAAGTGAGTTCTAGGGAAAAAGAGCAAGGTGAAGAATATATGTAGTATGCTATCCCTTCCATAAGAAAGGACTTCTATGAGAAAGAAGGAGAGCTAAGAAGAGGGGAAAATAAATATAAAAATAAGAATATATACACAAAAGTTGTTTTTTTTTTTTTTTTACCTACTTATTTTTCCAAAGGGAAACAAGAGAAGGATAAACCAGGAAGTTAGCAGGCAAGGAATGCAAATGGTTTCTGACCCTACATTCAATGCATTTGTGTGATGGCTAACAACTAGGGGACAAAGTGATACATACTGCTCTCAATTTAACTCCTGGTTTCTTAGACACATTTACTCACTGAAGCCTTGGTCTAGCTGCATGCCAGCTTCCCTTTCCATTGATTCTTTGAACTCACAGAATACCTGAGAAATGGTATGTCACGTAGACATGAGGCCCCTCCTGCCTGGCCTACAGTACTCTAGTGTGGGCCACACCTCCTGTACTGTAATGCCATCAATACTCTGCCTGTCCAACAGGGATCCCGTACCCTCACACAGAGAAAAATTAGGGAGAAGGGAGTTAAGAGGACAAATACCATTCTAGTCCCTAAAACAGCATCAGGTGACGTTCTGCAGGAAGGTCCGCCTAGTCCCTGACTGGTACAGGCTTTGGGTAGCTGAGCCAGGAAAGTGACAACAGGATGTAGATAATGACTCACTAACTCTCTCCAAGTCATTCCTGATTCCACAAGAGGAGGTCAGCTACATTTATCTCAGATCTGTCCTAAAGATTAAAACACACACTTTCCTCCCTGCTCAGCAGGGAGCCTGCTTCTTCCTCTCCCTCTGCTGCTCCCCCTGCATGTTCTCTCTCTCTCTCTCTCTCTCTCTCTCTCTCTCTCTCAGGAATGACTAAGGAATGAGGAAGCAGCAGTGAAGGCAGACACTGTTAAACTGCAAGCCTCTTGGTTCTCTGTGCTCTTCATTAACGTTGTCATTAGCAGCCCAGGTTTGTTTCTTTCTTTCTTTCTTTCTTTCTTTCTTTCTTTCTTTCTTTCTTTCTTTCTTTTTTTCTTTCTTAATGTATAATGTATTATCTGTTTCAGGGGTACAGGTCTGTGATTCATCAGTCTTACACAATTCACAGCGCTCACCATAGCACATACCCTCCCCAAGGTCCATCACCCAGCCACCCATCCTTCCCAACATCCACCACTCCAGCAACCCTCAGTTTGTTTCCTGAGATTAAGAGTCTCTTATGGTTTGTCTCCCTCTCTGGTTTCGTCTTGTTTCATTTTTCCCTCCCTTCCCCTATGATCCTCTGTCTTGCTTCTCAAATTCCTCATTATCAGTGAGATCATATGATACTTGTCTATCTCTGACTTATTTTGCAGCCCAGGTTTCTAAATCAGAAATTTGTAATTCATCAGGACTTTCTTCATTCACCTCTTATCCAATGAATACATCAAATTCTACTTCAAAAATGTCTTCTTAGAAAAATGCATTTAAAAACCCCCACTTTGGAGACAGATGGGTACATGAGTATTATTACACTAACTTTCTCTACTTCTGTGTACATATGGAAATTTTCATTTAAAAAGTTTAAAATAATAAGCCTGCAGGGTTGAGACTGACAGGATTTTACTGATAATGACACAGTCTTGGCTAGCCTATTTCCAGGCTTGCTTTTCCTTTGATTTTGAAGGAAAGTACTTTAGTGATTTAGCTTGTTTTATATTTTTATTTTTTAAAAAAGACTCAAAGGTCTTTCTTTAAAAAAGATTTTATTTATTTATTTTGAGAGAGAAAGAGCATGTGCATGTGCGCCTGAGCAAGTGGGGGTGTGTGGGGTGGGGTGGGGAGAATCTGAAGCAGACTCCACACTAAGCACTGAGCCCAACTCGGGCTCGATCTCACGACCCTGAGATCATGACCTGAGCCAAAATCAAGAGTCATACGCTTAACCGAATGAGCCACCCAGGCGTCCCTCATTTTTATATTTTTAGACATAAACATAACTGAGGCAGATGTTACAGTCTTTAAGTCTTAAGGTATAGCACTGTGATTTAAACAAAAGTAGTTAGTTCCAGTAAAATTATTAATAATGTTTCTACTTGTGGAAAAGCATTTTATTTTTCAAAACTGCTTTTGAATTTTTCCCTTTTCTTTTGAACTCCAGACTCACCTCCCTTCACCTCTTCCCCGTTTCCACCCAACCTCTCTACTTTTCCCTGGTCTTGACCCCAAATCACTTTTCTCATCTTTCATATAAAAATCCATTTTTAAGTGTCTATGTGATTGTTGCCCCAGAGTCTGTGTGATCCCCTATGAAGCCTCAAGAACAACACTAAGTGTCATGAGATGCTTAAGACCTACTAATGAAGACTGAAAGAGTAGCACAAACCCTTGCTCCAGGGAACTGTTTTGCCACAGTTCTCCAGCAGATGTCACTGGTCAGCAACATGAAACTATACAAAGGGACAAGAGACCATCCAGCACAATTTCTTCTTCTAAATTTTAAATGCTGCTTCTGTCATCCAGAAATGTGAATCATTTTTTTAAAGATTTTATTTTTAAGTGATTTCTACACCTAACATGGGGCTCAAACTCACAACCCTGAGATCACGAGTTGCCCACCCCACTGACTGAGCCAGCCAGGCACCCCTGGAAATGTAAATCATTAAAATGTGCTGGTGAGAGAAAACTCTTTCATTTCTAAAAGAAATGAGCACAGATCCTGGTCACAGCCTGAGGCTCTGTGCTCTCCTGCCATCCCCCATGAAGAGTTGACTCAGCCTGTGTGTATTAGTCAACTTGGGCTGCCATAACAAAGTATCAGGCTGGGTGGCTTGAAGAACAGAAATCTATTTTCTCACAGTTCTGGAGGATGAAGTTCAAGGTCAAGGTAATGGCACCATTTGTTTCTCCTGGGACCCTCTTCACTTGACTCGCAGGTAGCTGCTCTCTGTTCCTCACGTGGCCATTTGTCTCTGTGGTGCACTCCTGGTGTCTCTTCCTCTTCTTATAAGGAAACCAGTCCTACTGCATTAGGGCTCCACCCTTATAACCTCATCTAACCTTAACTGCCTGTTTTTTTTAAAGGCCTCTTCTCCAAATACAGTCATATTGGGGTTAGGCCTCACGTAGGAATTTGAGGGGGACACAATTCAGTATGTAACACTGGGTTTCTAAATTATTTCTAGTAATGCTTGGTAATATTTCACCTGAAGATAGCTATTGGTGGAAAAAATACTGAATATTGTGAAAGGATAGCAAGAGAAAAATCAGTATTTCAGTCCATTATAAGCATGTAAGCGTTAAAAGGCAGGGACACCTGGGGAAGGAAGAGCACCAATCATGCAGACATGAGTGACCACCATGGCACCAGACTCTGCTGACTGGTCAGTCATCACCAGAGTCAGATACTCCCCGCCCAAATGTGGCATGATGTCAACACACAAATTTCTGATTAAAATGCTTTGAAGCTGCAACACGTATTTAATAAAAGAAAGGGTTTTCTGGGGATGAAGTTTCTTACTTAACAAATCAGACTAACATTTCAAACTCAAAGGCAGTTAATACTACTTTAGGACTATTTCAAGAAAGCTGCCTTTAAAGAATTTATGAACTCTCTTCATCTAATGAATTTATCACATGTAAGGACTATTCTCCTAGAACTTAAACTTGGAAGGCACAGCTTTTCAATTCCATTGCTTTACAATGGAGAGAGAACATCAAGGAGGGGAAGAGCTCATCTCTGTAGCTACTACATGCACTGGTGTCTGAGCCTGGATCCACCCACCACTCATTCACTATTTCTCTATGTCCCAGATCCTTGTCTCTTCAGGGGTAAGAGGGCATAATGACACTAAAATCATGTAAAAGGTTAACACTGGGCTGCAGGGCACCTGGGAGGCTCAGTCAGTTAAGCACCTGACTCTTGATTTCAGCTCAGGTCATGATCTCAGGGTTGTGAGATCAAGCCCCACATCGGGCTCCACACTCAGTGGGGAGTCTGCTTGAGATTCTCCCTCTGCCCCCACTCAAATAAATAAATAAATAAATAAATAAATAAATATTTTTAAGATTTT